ACTGGGTGGAGTGGGGGTGGGTGTGGGAGAGGGGGTGGGGTGGGGTACGGGGTTCTTTCGTCGAAAGGACGTGTGTGTATATAATATAGAGAGAAGGAGCACACATTTTGTATACGCATATACGACCTTCGTCTCAGCTGATCAATGACACTTGTCAGTGGCAAAACCTGTCACAAGAAATTGATTTTATAGAGAACACAATTTTAGCACTAAAGGTTCTCAAAACATACGTTCAATAAAGATAGTGTCACGATTAGAAGAACAAGACGGACTTGCTTTTCAAAGGGATATTAGATCTACCCCAGCTGTAAACCTTAAAAAATACATAGAAACCACCCACTTGGATGTTTTATTAGTATTTATTAGGGAATTTTCTAGAATACAGCTAACAGGTGTTTATAAAAAATATTGATCTGTTAAAACAGATTGATACAAGTCATTGTGGGAAAGCTGGAGCGTCTGTGTTCGAGAGATTACGAAATATCTGACAATAAGTTGCACCACGAATTTTTGATCGCACTCTAAGTGAGTAGGCTGGACATTTCTCTTAACATATCGGCAGACTGGATGAGCTGTCGCAGGATTCTGACTTACTCTGTGAGAAAAGTAGGCTGCTGGGAGGTAATACAGGTGGAGTGAGTCGTCTCCCATCTTTGTAGACCACCGTTCTGTTGAAAACAAAAATAAATTCATGTATCCCTCATCAAACAACACGCTACCTCAGGATTACTAAGTTCTATCTGACAATTTTGGCCTTTTAGAGTTATTAAGACCATGAGGTCAGAAACCAGATGTTGTATCTGCTGATCTATCAACATTATAAGATCACCTCGATATTCAAAGAATTACTTTCATAAAAGATTGCCATGATATGAAACTCAAAATCTTTAACGTCAAATTTCTCAAAACTAGGTACTGAGCAGATAAAACTGTGTAATTCTGAAGTAGCGAAAAGTCAATATTCTGATGACAGGTCGATTAGTGGGAAACAGAACCGTTCTTGGACATATAGGGCTGTGACCATAGACTCGTACCGTATTATACTATCCAAGATTAGGCACTGCTGGTGTAATTATTTTGCATAATTATAGTTCGCCCGTCAATATTTGGCGATGATCAATGCTTCCACATTGAGAATCTTTACCGATTAAGCGATATATTAGAAGAATTAAAGGTTAGCTTAAGATGGCTTGTGGTTTCTACTATATATGGCCAATTAAATCAATCCTGGCAGAGAAAAAATTACCACATATTATGTTTTAATAACTTCATTTCCTTTTGCAGATGTGCGCTGCTTAATGCACTTAAGGGCTTCTTTCTTGGCTTCAGCATTTTTATTTCGTGAAGCATCATATACAATTTTTATCATGATTTGCTTCCTCTGTATCTGCTGCTCTCCGACTGGGTCTGCCCGGAACTAGGCTCTTCTATGTCGAAGGATTTCTATTAAGAGAAAAAGAAACAGAACCTACCAATGGCGATCCCCAGCCACGCAAAGGCCGTATCAGAAAAAAAGATAAAAGAAGTAATGGGTAGATCTATGTATAGTTATAATAAGATAATAATAAATATTGTCGACCAAAAAAACGAAGCAAGTTATTGTACTTTGTTTTCTCCGCAAGGCAAAATATAGATAGATAGATAGATAGATAGATAGATAGATAGATAGATAGATAGATAGATAGATAGATAGATAGATAGATAGATTCGATCGAGAGAGGGAGAGGCAGAGGGAGATGGAGAGAGAGAGAGAGAGAGAGAGAGAGAGGGAGAGAGAGAGAGAGAGAGAGAGAGAGAGAGAGAGGGAGAGAGAGAGAGAGAGAGAGAGAGAGAGAGAGAGAGAGAGAGAAGAGAGAGAGAGAGAGAGAGAGAGAGAGAGAGAGAGAGAGAGAGAGAGAGAGAGAGAGAGAGAGAGAGAGAGAGAGAGAGAGAGAGAGGAACAGCCCAACAGCAAAGAGGGTAATCATTGTATCACAGACGGTGAAACATTTGGTTGGTGGGTGCTCTGGTCGATTTGCTCCTTCTTTCCTATCAAACATCTATCGTCTTTATCTCGCCTCCTTCATTTATTTGTATGTTACACTCTATTTTAAATCTCTAATCTTCGGCACTTGGCATATGACCTTCAGTATTGCAAGTTCCGTAACAATTATTAAAACTGAAATTAAGACATGCTGAGATTCAATGGAATCAATAAAACTCGAGATAAAAAGTTTTTCAGAACGTCATGGTATCGTAGTCAAATTGCGTTGCAGATGCACTCGCTCAACATGTATTAACGAATCAGCTTCAAAGAGTGTTCATGCATTTATACACATGTACAATAGCCACCTCTTGCTGACAACACATTCTCTCTCTGTGTACAATCGTTGATTTCTGTAGCCGTAAAAAGAGGATACACGTATACACGTTATAAAATTAAAAGTACTTACGCTCGTTCCGAAAAGAGAACAAAGAAAAACAAGAGCAATGGGTAGCTTCCAATTGCTTGTGGTTTCTGAAAACGTCACCCTCCTCAGTATTTATAGGCGAGCATGATAACGGTTAGGTTGGTTGAGGGACCAAAGTACGTATCCAATCAAGCAGGTTTAATATAAAAGCCAAAATTTTTTTTACAAATGTGAACAACAGCATAATGCCAAGTTTAGGGAAGGCTGTAATTTTCAGTGTTTGAGCGATAGATTAGACGAATTGATAATACGCCTTGAAATGACTCGGCACAAATTCTGCCTCGACGAGGCAAAAAAAATGAAGGAATACTTTAGCCTACTATAAATAGCTTACGTCTGTGGGGCAGTGGTGGGGTGGGGTGGGGTGAGATGAGGAGGGGGTAGGGGTTCCTGGTCAAAGTGCTTATGTAGACATAAAACAGAAATGCAGGATTACAACCTACCTACTTAAAATTAATTTGTTTGAGTAAGAGTTCTTTGTTAGTTTGCTGGGGAAGGTGGGGGGGGGGGGGGAGGGGGGGGGGCTTAGTTTATTTTTTTGTTTGGTAAGAGTTTTACAGAACTCTCAACTGATCAAGGTCATCATCCTATGAAAGTGAGAGACTCACAGTTGGTTGTTTTCTCGTTAGTTCATAACACGGCTTAGTTTTACATTGTTAAGTCGGAATGGTTGAAGTTACAATTTCTTGGAGAGGTAAGTTTGAGTGCAAGCAAACGTACTGGACACTGCTCTAAGAAGTAAGATATTTGGAAGGCGAATCACCTGGTTCTGTAGTGGTAAACGGGAATGAATGAGGAAGAATCGAGCCTTTGATGACTTATTTCTAGTTTCGCGAGTCCCATCTCCAACTAATGTTCATAATTTATTGAAGCTGTTTTACCTATCTTTCTGGGGATTTTTTGGTGGGTTTTTTTTGTTTGCATTTGGATTCGGTTTTGCGAGTATGTGAATCATAAATGAAACGTGAATCGGTGTTTCATAACCAAGAAATTATGTATCTTTCTGACTTGTACCAAGAATCAATGATTTGTAGCGAGGAATTTGTCGACACAATACTGCCGTCATAAAACAGCAACAACAAAAACAACAACAACAGTGTATATGTAGTTTTCACAATTTTACAGAGAGCCCCTTATAGGACTAGGAGGTTATATAAAGTAATTTTTATATATATTTTTGGGAGGGCCAAAAACTTGAATGATGCTACCAATAAAACAAAATGTGCTTTAAACATGATAAGGAAGTTATTATGAAAATTGTATTCTTTATAAAACACTGACTTGGGATTTTGTTTTTCTTGGTAACAACATTCAGTTGTTTTTTTTTTTTTGCCCTTCTGTAAAATTGTAAAAAAATGCATATTATGTTGTGTTTTTAAAAAAAAGACGGTAGAATAGTGATACTGATAATATATAGTCGGTATAGGCGCGTTTTCATTTTAAAGAGCTTGCTCAAACAGAAAAACTCAAACAAACAAACAAACAAACAAACAAACAAACAAACAAACAAACAAATAAATAAACAAACAACCCCCCAAACAAATGGGATTCTATTTTCTTTCGGTTTTCCGCTCTTTTTGGATAAATCATGTTCGTATATATATATATATATATATATATATATATATATATATATATATATATATATATATATATATATATATATATATATATATATATATATGACAATCTCCAAAACCCACGAAATTGGAAGAAGAAGTAGAGGCAAGCAGACAAAAACAAAAAGCGCGCGTTTTGTTTCCCCCTCCCGCCCTAGAGCACACAGTTGAAAGTCTGCAAAACTTTCAAATAATATAGACTGGATAAGCCCAGGATACAATTGTTTCGGGAGAAAAAGAAAATAAACGTTCATTCTCTTAAAAATCGAACACACATTATCAAGTCGGCTGTCTTTCTTTTTTTGCTTTTTGCAACATTTAGAATGTGAATTTTGACAAAATATTTCTTGAGCAAAGGCAACCGATACTACAAGAAACTGCTATTTTTTTTTCAATGGGCTCAACGCGTCGTCACCTCGAAACTATTTTGTCCAAAGTTTACTTTAGTAAAATGGCATTTCGGACAAAGATCGTTCTGAAGCCACGACATCTGTAGCTGACCGACTATCATGTGTAACTGTCAAAGGTGCATCTGTCACGCCCCCCAACAGTATACTATAGAAAGTATGAGACAACGAGAAAAAGAACGATTTTGTAGGACAAGGGATTCGAAACTGGACCTTTTGGAAGTTTGTCAATAACCCAAGCACCCTTGACACAGGTCAAGATAAGCTGAACACAGCACACTGCTGCACATTGAGGTGCGCACTGCTCTCCCCAAGCTGAGTACGTCGATAAAACAAAACCAAAAAAAACAACCCCACACATACAAAATGAAAACACATCGTCACGCTGACGTGCACGTTGAAAGGTCAGCCACACCGACCTGGAGTGGGGTGAAAATCTGTAAAAACTGCGGCCGTTGTTGAAAACTTGTAGGTCCAGTAGGCCTACAAACCGTACTATGCCGTACATACACACGGGTGAAATTTTCAATGAGCAAACGATGATTTGACGAAATTCTACTTGGCCTGCTATTTGAGGTGAAATTGCCTCTTAACGTCCCCCTTTCTATTCCTATTTCAACAAACATGTATTAAAGTTCAGGAAATAACTCTTATACTTTGAGGTCCCAACTGCTATATACATGTATACAATTTTGAAAATCCCGGACAATACTATTTTTTAGGGTGAACTGATAGGCTTTTAAGTTCACTGTATTTTTCTGGGCCTATAACCTTGCTCTGTCTATCACCTCAACTGCTGCGTTTTCCTATTCTGCTCCTTTGCCCACGTCTGTGCTGCTGTTTCTCAAGCTTTTATTTTGTGATACATACAGCAGAACATCTGTTTTTTTACCGCTCACTCTCGTCGTTTTTCTAAATAGACAATGAACGGAATGTAAACACTTGTTTGACTCTCTACTGAACGCTTGTTCTCCCAGTTTGGACAACTAGCTACTGTGTGTGTATAGTTTTGTTTCTTTCGCATTTTGATGTGTGTGTGTGTGTGTGTGTGTGTGTGTGTGTGTGTGTGTGTGTGTGTGTGTGTGTGTGTGACAGTGCTGACGTTTTTACATCCACTATCGACACGATTTAGATTATCAAGGAGGCAGGCTTCCAACCCTGTCTGTCAGGGTCAACCTGTGTTAAAAGGAATACACTTTCCCAACAGAAAGGCCGAGTTACCCGATAAAAATCCCCCCTCTCGAAGGAAAATTTCTGAAGCAAATAGAATAGCCGAAAAAAGAGACCCACTGACGTCCGCATTTCTGACCTGAGACTTTCTAATGTTCCGAAACCATCTATACAGGGAGCATGGAAGTGGAACCGAATTGGGAAAAAAACAATTAATCCACAGACAGGGAAAAAAAGAGGCTAAAAAAAACCAGCATCTGGACATGGATTGCTGGTGTCTCTATAAATAAATTATTCGTGGTCATGCTGGAATAGATTTTGTGATTAAAATTATAGTTACCGGTATTCTATTATTATGTGACCTGAATTTTCGTTTACAATACTGCAATGGCACTATTGACACTGTCACTCTTTGTTTTTTTAAAATTGGTGCATTACTCTACTGTTATTGTCAGTGAGTGAATGGGTTGTTGGGTGGATGGGTTAGTGAGTGAACGGGTTAGTGATTGGATGGGTTTGTGTGTGGTAGGGTTAGTAGATGGTTAGGTTAGTAAATGGTTGGGTTAGTGAGTGGATGGGTTAGTTAGTGGACGGGTTAGTGAGTGGTTGGGTTAGTTAGTGGTTGGGTATTGGGTTAGTAGGTGGATGGGTTAGTGAGTGGATGGGTTAGTTAGTGGTTGGGTTAGTGAGTGGATGGGTTAGTTAGTGGTTGGGTTAGTGAGTGGATGGGTTAGTTAGTGGTTGGGTATTGGGTTAGTAGGTGGATGA